AAAAGGAGCAGTCTTCTCCCATTACACGTTATAGCCTGGAAACCCTGGGGAGGGGAAAGGGAAGATACTATGAGTTGAAACCGACTGGATAGCAGTGAGTGAGTTTTTTTATGGAGACACAAGTCTATCCATAAAAAGAACTAAACTGTTGCATCCTCAGGGACACTGACATTCCAGTTTCACTGAGTTTCTGTTCTCTCCCAGTTGCTGTTCCACGAACACCCTCACTGTCTCCTCCATTGCCCATCTTTCACTAACCTGTAAGGTTGATCCCCTTTCTCTCTTGGTTTCCTCAAGATAGTGTCCACAGCTTCTGGGGCTGAGGGCTTGTTATTTTCTTGTCAAACTCAGGTAGGTGAAGAACAATGTCCAGGAGATCTGGCCACTGAAACATCTCAGTACTCAGGCCAGATGCTGAGCCTAAGCCTCCTGCCAAACCAGTTCTTGCCTCTGTAAATGTCATCTCCAAGGCCTGTTTGGTCATTCCAAAAACTGGGCTTCCCTCGGCTTCTCCCTCCCTCCCCGTCTTGATTCCCCAACCCTTCCCTGCCTCACCCTGGATCTCCACTGTGGCTAGCTGAATGTTATTTCCCAGGAGGACTCCTGGGCCCAGGTAAGTCAAGGGCCATAGCCAGACTCTGAAGCTAGAGAACATGGAGGTTCTTGGGAGAGTGTCCTGATCTCTACTGTGGAGTTCTACAAACTGAAGCTCTGCTTATCTAGTACTGTGTTCCCAACACAATTATTTTTTTGACCCAGAAGCTAAAGGAAGGAAATGACAAGTCAAAGGGCTAGACTTCATTCCAGCACCAACCTCTACAAGCACATGTCCAAAGTATGTCAGACAAAGCTTCAGAATCCTTGCCTCCAAGGAGCAGCCTTGGAGGTTTCACCCTCTTTAGGATAAACCTGTTTGTTCTCATAGCAATCCATGGTATATTCAATACTCTTCTCCAGCACCACAACTCAAAGGCATCAATTCTCCTTCTATCCTCCCTAGTCATTATCCAGCTCACTGATGCATAGCAAGTAGTTGCAAAGACTATGGCATGGCACCTTAGCCTCCAGACTGACTTCGTTGCTCTTCAGTTCTTTGGAGAGGTCTTGGACAGCAGACTTTACCAATGCAATTAGGGAGAAATAGATATGGTGGTGGTTGTTGTTATGTGCCATCAAGTCACCTGTGACTCATAGTGACCCTATGTACATTAACTCTGAACTGTGCCCTATCCTGAGTCAATTTTATCATCTCCAATAGACCTAATCCCACTTCTCCAGTCACTGAGTCAATCCAACTCATCTTGGGTCTTCTTTTCCTACGCTGTCCTGCCACCCTTCCAAGCATGATGCTCTTCTCCAAGCACTGTTCTCTCCCGGCCATGTGCCCAAAGTATGTGAGATGGAGCTTCAAAATCTTTGCCACCAGGGAGCAGCTTGGTTTCACCCTCTCTAGGACAAATCTGTTTGTTCTCCTGGCAGTCCATGGTATGTTTAACACTCTTCTCCAGCACCATAGCTCAAAGGCATTGATCCTTCTTCTATAATCCTAGTTGAGCTCTCTGATGCTTAGCAAATAATTAAAAGGCCATGGGCTGTATAAGGCATGCCTTGATCTCCAGACTGACATCATTGCTCTTCAGTACTCTAGAGAGGTCCCTGAAAGCTGACTTTTCCAACATAATTCGTCTTTTGATTTCTTGACTGCTGTTGCCAAGAGTATTGATTGTGGAACCAGTCGAACTGAAGTTGTTAACAATCTCAATCTCTTTTCTGTCTATCATCAAGCTGCCAGTTGGCCCAATGGTGAGAATTTTTGTTTTTGTGATGTTGAGCTTCAATCCATATTACACTTAAGGAAAAAGAACAAAAACCAGCCTTGTGGAGCATAGTTCTACCTGATGCATGGGATGTGGTGCACTGAATTATTGTGGTCTTTCTAGCGATAATCTTTGTAACATCCGTTAAATGACTAGGTTGAACTATACACATGTGAGATGTTTGTGACCCACCAAAAGGACCGGATAGCTTGTTAATAAAGTAAGTAAGGTATAAAGCACTCTTACAGGATGGGTCCAAGCAGACTAGGCACATGGGAACCTAAGGGAAGACTGGTCAGTTTTTCCATCCTGCTAGGCATAACATGGGCCATCGTAGAGGCAGATAGGTAGAAGGATCTCACTACCATGAAAAAAGAGGAGCCACATCCTTTGGATCCAAGATAGATCCCTTAATTGGACCTGCTCACGCCAGGAGACAGAAAATGCTGCAATAGTTTGCTGATTCACTTGGCTTCAGGGCCATGGAATAAGATAGCTAAGCACCTTTGGGCAAGAGGTTTGCTGGAGGATTTGGGTGCCTCCAGGCAGTTGGCAGAGCCAAGTAGATTGACCCAAGAGCTAGAGTTAAAGTAAACACCTCCAGGTCCAGGCTTTTTTAACAGAGTTGGATGCCACTGGGTTCAAATACCAACAAAGAGCTTTGTAAGACTTGCCAGGGTAAGCAGAAGCCAAGGAGCTATGACACCAAGAGGTCAACTGGCTAGAGAGAGGCCAGCCTGTGGGCATTGCAAAGAAGAGGCCATCCTGACTGAAGATCAGTGTCCTGAATCATTTCTTCTTTTTTAAATATTTTTTTGGTATATGTGAAACTTATTGTTATGTGCTATTAGATTGGAATTGCCTCATGACTGGCCTTCCAGCAGGTTCCCAGAAATAGTGGCTCTCACAGGAGGAGGTTGCCCATCTTTCTCCTGTGGAGCAACTGGTGGATCCGAACTGTATGCTTTTGAGTTGGCAGAGCATCTCTTTACCGCAAAGCTGCCAGGGCTCCACCTCAGTCATCTCTGATCTTGAATTGTAACCTGTGTTCCTAATAAACTTCCCAATCATAGTTATTGTCTACAAATTCTGTGTGACCATTGCAACAAATGACATAACCCAGCAGAGACATGCAGAACCCTACAAGAGGGACGTTTTGCTCTCAGAACTAAAAAAAAAAAGGCTGGAGGGTGGGGTGTGTCTGTTCTCACAGACACCAACAATGGGTTGTTAACAGTGACAGTCACTCTCTCTCATGAAGTTCAAGAAGGTCCAATGTCATTTTTACATGAGGTTACCATGACTTGAAATTTAGTCCATACAAACTGATTAGAAAAAAATATAACACATAAGCGTTTTATGAGCAACATTGTAATTTTCAGGCACTTTCCCTTGTTCTTGGTGCATGCATGGAACCCTGAGTTGGGGGGATCCTGAAACACTGAAGACCCAAAGAGACTCCCTGTCCTTTTTTTCTTTCCTTATCAATGCAACATTTAATCAGAAATGTATCATCCTTTAGATTTGCCATGTTAGCAACAGTAAAATTGATCACACAATAACAGTCTCTTAGTGTCTGAGTCATTTGGTTCATAAAAAATGAGTCAAAGGCAAAAACTTAAAATAATTCTCCTCTTCTGAGTTCTTCCCATGAACATAATACACTCACTCCCTTCTAAGTTTTCTATCTAATAGTTCAAATTATTGTTGTCTATTTGATCCCATGTTATTGTTAGATGCCATCAAGTTGAGAATGACTTGTAGTGACTCTGTGAACAGCCAACCTAAAACCTGTCCTACCCATCTTCTCCATCTCTGAGACACTAGAATCCACTGCTGAAGTCACAGCGTCGATCCATCTCATTGAAGGTCATATCCTACTTCATTGAACCTCCACCTTTCCAAACATGATGTCCCTTTTCTTTTTTTATTATGTGTGTGTGTGTGTGTGTGTGTGTGTGTGTACCATCAAATCGGATCTGACTGGTACAGGAGGAGATTGTCCCTCCTTTTCCTGGCAGAGCATCTGGTGGATTTGAACCGTGCACCTCTGGAATTGCAGTGCAGCTTCTTGCCACTAGGCCACCAGAGCTCCCCTATGATGTCCCTTTTCAAAGAATAACCTTGCCTAGCTACATGTCCAAAGTATGAAAGATGAAGCTTTGTGATCCTTGCCTCCAATTCCAGGACATATGTTTGTTCTTTGGGCAGTTCATAGTATGTTCAGTACTCTTCACCAGTACCACAACTCAAAGGCATCAATTCTTCCTCTGTCATCATTGTTCATTGTCCAGCTCTCTGATGTGTAGCAGGTGATTGAGAAGACCATAGCCTGAGTCAGTCACACCTTAGTCTTCAAACTGATATTATTGCTCTTCAGTATTTTGGAGCAGACTTGTCCAGTGCAATTCATCTCCTGATTTCCTGACTGCTGGCTGAGGTGTTGATTATTGATCCAAGCAAGACGAAATAATTCATAGCTTCAAGCTTTTCTCCATCTATCATTATGTTGACTGTTGGTCTTATGGTGAAGAGTTTTATCTTCTTGATGTTGAGATGTAATCCATACCGAAGGCTGTAGTCTTTGACCTTCAGCAGCAAGCGTTCATATTCTCCTCACTGGGTTTTCTCAGGCTGCAAATCTGAACGCAAGAAGACGGCTTCATCCTTCTCAGGAAGAGCTGCCTAAGGAGGAAGGATCTGTCGCGTAATGACTGAACCCGGGAGGGAAGTGACGTTCAAAGAGGCAAAGAAGTCAGAGAAGACTGCCCTCCTCACATCTTCCAGGAACAGCTCGTTGGAGCCACCTCTCATGCAAGCCCGCTTCCACTTGCAGGTTCATCCTCCCCAGGCTCTCCCAGCCCCTCTGTTTCAGGATTCCAAGAGATGTTGCCATAATTCGCAGAGGACACCATCCGCCCTCTGATTGGCCGAGATCAAACGAAGATCGCGCTCCCATTCGTCAGAAGGAGAACCTTGACAAATCCCATTGGCTGCACTGTCCGCGGGTCTCTGTCAGCTTTGAGGCGGAGGCGGCGCGGGGAGGGGGCGGGAGAGGGGCTCGCTGTTGCTGTGGTTACACCGAGGCACGTGTGCAGTCCCGGAAGCGAGTCGGGGAAGGGGACCCGCGCGAGCCTCGGGAGGAAACGCCGCTGGGTCGGCTGCGATCGGTCCGGCTGGGCCATGGAGTCGCCGCCTCGGTGCGCGCCCCAGCCTGGGCCCCGCTGCCTTCTGCCTCTCTGCCTGCTGCTGCTGCTGCTGTCGACCTCGGAGCTGGGCCTGAGCCCGGCTGGAGCCGAAGAGACCGACTGGGTCCGTTTGCCCAGCAAATGCGAAGGTGAGGGGGCGTATCTGCTCGAGAGGTGGGGTTCCAGGGGCGGGGTTTGCGGAGAAGGGTCTGCAGAGTGGAAGGTCCTGGGCTCTTGGGTGAAGAGGCTTTTCATGCACTGAACCGAATGCATTGCATGCCATTGTAGGCGTCGGGGACACGAGGGTGGGCAGAAGGTCCACCCTTAGACCTGGAATTCATGAATTGCTAAAAGCAAACAGTTGTCATCCAGAACCATAGATGACATGGTAGGGAAAGGGTTTAGGGGGCTGGAGCAGGGAGAGGCTGTGTGTAGACAGGTTCAGAAAAGGCATCATATGGGGAAGTCTGAAATAATTAGGAGTAAGCCAAGTGAAGAGAAGAAAAAAAAGCTACAGATTATAAAGCTAAGAATAGATTTGAGGAACTGAAGCATTGAGTATGACTTGCCCTGGGGAAGAAGGAACTGTCCCCTTTGTGCCCTCACCTCAACCTAGTCTGTGTGGTTGTATACCCCTGGGAGCTGCTTAAGGAGAGAGACTTGGAAGACATTTCAAAGTGCCTGATAGGAATTCAGTCAGTGTTTCTTAAAGATAAATATGCGTAAATGGGAGCTGTGAAAATGGCCAGTAGCTTGAGGTGCGACTGTTGAGAGTGAAAGTTGAAATGGGCCTGTAGCTTGTGGAGGAGGAGGGAGAGGCTGGGACTTAAGGGATCCTTTCAGGTAATGAGTAGAACCTAGGGAGCCTTGGTGAGGAAGGAAGACTTCAGGAGAAAGGGAGTGAGGCCCACAGAATAGGAGGATCAGACACATGAGACTTCAGGAGAACCAGGGCTGTGAAGGACTGTCTCTTTTCCGCTGCCTTCTCTGTCACTCCCCACTTTCTTAACTCCAGGCCCCTCAGATAGCTTGCTGTGTGTAACTCCCTTTATCCTAATTCACAGCTTACAGCCAGATGTTCCCTAAGCACAAGGACATGAGAGTGAGATGGTTTGGACCCATAAGCCTTACATTTGTGAGATTAGAGGTCAGATGCTCCAGAGATGAGCTGACTTCACTGTGTGGGGGCTCATGGATGTCATGATGCCTTCCAGCCCTCTCTTGAATAAAAACAGTCAAAAGGTGGAGAAGCTTTCTTCTACTTGTCCTTTGGAGGTTTTCATTTCCTCTTTGTTTTCTGATTCTGTTTGCAAAAAGACCCTGCAGTTTTTCTTAATGTTCTCATAGTTTAAGCAGCTCAAATTTCTTTTCCCTTGGGAGACATTCACAGAGTCATCAATGCATAAAACTGGCAGGGAGGGATCTCAGAGATCATTCTAGAACAACTTCATTTTGTAGATAATTAATGAAGAGTTTTAATGATAATTTTTCATTTTAAAGGGATTTTCAGTTCTAGGATGGCTGGGCCGACTCCAGCCTTAGGCTGCTTATAATTATACTTGGTTTTATTATTTATTCTTATTAGAATACCTTTGTTATTAGATGCTGATTGTGTCTGGCCCACAAAGCCCGCCTCTTGGCTCAGTAACCCGAGAGGAACAGGCCTCAGCAGAGAGGATGGAGAACCTGCCCAGAAAAAAGAGTGGGTGGATGTCTCTGGGGGTCTAGGGTTTGGGGTCTGTGCCACGAAACAGCTTTGAGTCTGGTTCTGGGTGGGAACTCCAGAGAGGAGGTCTTGAGAGGTTAAGGTTTGAATAAGTTGAGAAGCAAGATTGTGTTTCATGGATAAAAGAAAGAAAAGATGTTCCAGCCCCCCAGGCCTGGAATACTGTGTATTGAGGGCGTGGGAGAAGGGTGCAGAACAGCCAGGAAAATAAAGAGTTGGCACAGAGTAGGAGAGAAACAGGAACCCAGATGGTCTTGGCGCGAGAGCCAAGATGGTGAGAGACCCTCCATTCATCTCAGATTCTGAGATCATCAGAATCCCTTGTGCAATTTTCATGTGTTCCAAGTTTTCCAAGTCAATAAGTAATAAATATGTTCTAAAATTTCACCGAAGAAACCTCCGGGGATGCCTTTATTTTGATGCTACATTGGTGTTCTACCAAGCTCTGCTGTTAGCGTTATCACAGTGTTTTGACATTCAGCCTGCCAGATGGCTTTCCATTCAGAGGCATCACAAACTCTTCAACCACTTGGTGTCTGTCAGCAGTCAATGGTGTCTGTCAGTCAGCATATATAGAGTCCCAGAATAGGGACATCTGGAAGGCACCCAATACCTGATGCTCCCTCAGGGGACTTTTGTAGACTAGCTGGAGAGACACATGGCATGAGTAAAGTCCTTAATGAGAACTTCAAACCTTCAGAAGCCCTAGTGAAGTCAAGAGCACCTGAGATTGGCCCAGAAGGGCCTCCTGGAGGAAGAGACTTGAAGTTGGGAGAATGAATGTACAGAGAAGGCTCTAAAGGGCATTAGGCACTTACTGGGGGGACACCCTCAGTAAGATGGATATACACAGTGACTGTAACAGTGCACTTGAGCCTGTTAGACACCAGAAAGATGGTGTAGGAGAGGGCAAGTTTATGATCTGTTTGGTTTGAGATGCAGTTGACTTCATGGCTCCTAAAAACAAGGCCTTACCCTAAACCTATTAAACAAAAAAATGTTTAAAACTCATCAGGTGGTTAAAATGCTAAATCAAGTTTGAGAAACACTGACTTAGAGTAAAGGCCCTGCTGCTGGGTTTCTAGGAGTCATGGTGGCAGAGTGGTTAAAGAGTTCAGTTTCTAATGGAGAGGTCAGTGGTTCAAACTCATCAGCCACTCTGAGGGACAAAGAGGAGGCAGTCAGCTTCTGGGAAGATTTATAGCCTTGGAAACGCTGCAGAAAGTTCTATTCTGTACTACAGAGTCTCTGTACTTTGGGACTGACTCGATGACGGTGAGTTTGGTTTTATGGTCCCAAGCACCTCACAAAGTGTGTCTGTTGAGACTTCTCTTCCTTTCTGAATGAATTTGATAGCAAGGAAGTTAGCTTTTTGTTTCTACTTTAGAGAAAGTATATAGAAGAGAGTGACTTTGTTTTTATTGCTATGTCTCCAGGCAGGGTCTGACACTTAAGAATTGCCCTTGAGGAAGAGGAAATGAGAAAATAAATGTACAAAAGTGCTGGCGAAATGCCCGTGGAGGAGATAGAGTAAGGTAACTTGGTAGGAATAGAGAGCTAGTGTTTGAACAGTCTGTGAACTTAAGTAAACAGCCATACAAGGCATGTTGAGGACAGTTGGGAAAATTTGAATATGAATGGAGTCCTAGATGACTTTGAAATGATTGTTTATTTTCCAAGTGTCATATTTCATTATGGTTACTTAGAAGGTTATCTCAACAGATGAATGATGACATATTTAGGGGTGACAGGTCATGGTGTCTACAATGTACTTTTTTTTTTTAAATTGTGGTTGGGGTGAACAATTACAGAGCAAATTAGCTTTCCATTCAGTAACACAGTCATTTTGTTTCATGACATTGGTTACATTACCTACTATGTAACAGCACTCATCCTGTGTTCCTTATTTCCATTCCCCCTCTGTGCCCCTTCCTGTCTTCTGAACTTTGTTAGACAAATACTAACCTTTTGGTAAGGAGTTCTGGTGGCCTAGTGGCAAGAAGCTGTGCTGCACTCCCAGAAGCTTGTGGTTCAAATCCACCAGCTGCTCTGCGGGATAAGGATGGGTAACCTTCTCCTTTGTGATTAACTGCCTCCATGGACGGCCAGCTGTGAATCAGTTCTGACTTGGCAGAGCACATACTTTCAGTGAGTGGAAGGATCAACCTGGGATAAAGGCAAACCAGTATATTAAAAAAAGGCAGCAGACTATTGCAATTAGCAAATAGTTTAAAAGGGAAGGGGAAGAAGGACAAGGATATCCTTCCAACAGCAGAGATTAATAGGAGGATAAGGGAATGAAGAAATCAGGTTAAGTGCAAGGGGGAACTTGAGTAGTCAGGTAGAGAAAAGTAACAGATCAGTAGTAACTATATAAAACACAGTGTGCAGAAATGATAATATGAAATAGTGTATATAAATAATTGCATAAAAGTGAATGATGGTGTAAATAAATAATGTATTTTAAGAAGAAAACAAAAAGCCCCAGTGAGGGATATTGTGAGACATTATTTCCATTCAGTAACACATTCATTTTGTTTCATGACATTGGTTATAGGATGATGGTTATGTATCCTTTGACTTTTCTGTATGTTTGAAAATTTTGGTGGACAAAAGAAGAGAGGTTAGTAGGAGAAGGGCCATGAGGGGCAATGAGGCAGCAGATATGGGGGCCACAGTGTTGAAGTCCTTCCGGGCCCTGAACATGGACTGTTGATAGGGGAGGACACCCGGATCCTGGGTCTGTCCCTTTTACTGGAATCTAGTCCTCATCAAGGAGCCCCAGTGGCACAGTGGGCCTGCAGCTGAAAGGTCATCAACTCCAACCCATCAGTCGATCTGCTCCCGTGAAGATTACAGCTTTGGAAACCCTCTATGGAGACTCTCCTTTGTCCTAGAGGGTTGGTGTGGGTTGGAATCGGCTTTGTGACAGTGAGCCTGGGTCCCTGTCAGGAGCACTCATGGGCTGTGTTGGGCCTCCTCCTCCAGTGTGTAAATATGTTGCCGTGGAGCTGAAGTCTGCCTTTGAAGAAACCGGCAAGACTAAGGAGGTGATTGACACAGGCTATGGCATCTTGGACCGGAAGGCCTCTGGTGTCAAATATACCAAATCGTAAGTGAGGGGCCTCTTGGTGGCCTGAGGGCCCTGGCATTCCCTTCTCGCTTCCAGCCAGACAAGTTCATGACCACAAGGGAGGCACTTCTCACACAGACCCACATTTTCTTACTATTCCTGTCCCTAATTTTTCAGCCTTTGTAAATCCTCTTCTAATTCATTCAGGCTTTGGGGTCCTTATCTGTAAAATCAAGACTGTTGGACTACTGACAGAGATGATCAGCAGCACTTTAATGACATTTAACATCAGATGCATTTGGTAATCATACAATCACTCTCCATGGAATCATTTTTAGTTTTGTTTAATAGAAAACTAAGTTGATTTTTTAATATTTAACAGAGGCCAATATCTGGGCAAAAGCCTAATGGATGCCAAAGAGAACTGCCCATTTATAAAGGAGAGAGCACCATTGTGCACAAGAAAGCGGTGAATTCAGGCATCCACAACCTCACAGACAACCTAGTTTACTGTGTAAATAGTACCAATAAATATTTGTGTTAACAAGAAAAAAAAAAGACTGTTGGACTAGATCAGTGACTCCCAGACTCTAGGATTTCACAGACCAGTGCAATTTTTTTTTCTCCCCTTAACAAAAATTGGTCGCATAAGATTACCACCTTTGTATTTTCCCTGGTAAAGTTGTTTTTTGGTTTTTTTTTTTTTAAACTAGAGAACAACAAAACTCAGCTCAAAACCAATACATTTTACTTTCTTGAAAAAAAATAAAAATCTGAAGACAGACTCAGTTAGTTTTGTGAAGAATTCCTTCTTTTCATTCTTTTGCATTGGACCCGTTAAACTTTTGTCTCTCTGGTCTGTGTTCCAGCATCTCAGAGCCCCCAGACCAGATGACCTATCTTCCTTCCAGCTCTGACTTCCCGTTGGTGAGATGTGCAGGTGTTGGGCAGCAGGGCTGGCGGGTCGGAGCGCTAATGCACTGGGCCTGGGAGGGAGGGAGCTTAGTTCTGGTGCTGCTGTCTCGGCAGGGACTTACGGTTAATTGAAGTCACTGAAACCATCTGCAAAAGGCTCCTGGACTACAGCCTGCACAAGGAGAGGACCGGCAGCAACCGATTCGCCAAGGTTGGGTTTGCACTTGCCCCTCATTCCCTCCAGGACCAGGCCTGCGAATATGTCTGTGTCAGTTTAGCAGGGACGCCATCTGAGGGCCACGCCCTGGGAGGTGCTGTCTTTGGCCTCTTCCCATTCTCAATTGGTGGCCCTTTTCTCTCTCTGTTTAACTTTCCATCCTGGGTGGCCTGGTAGCAGGAACATCGGTCATGGCCAGGGCCTGCCCATCAGGTGCTTCAGCCTCCAACACAGGCAGAAATACCTTAGGCGACCTCCCGGAGGCCTAAGCTACTTGAGCAGGAAGACCTGAGCAAGGTTCAGGATATGAAGTAGCATAAATGGTCTTATATTTTAAACATGCTGCTAGAAAATTCTATTCCTTGGTGAAGAATATCATGTTTGAAAGGGTGGAGGGTCAGCAACGGAGAGGAAGACCCCCATCGAGATGGACCAACACAGTATCAGCAGCAGTGGGCCCACGTGTATCCAGGATGGCGCAGGATAGGACGGGATCCGGTCTGTTGTTCCTAGGGTCACTGTGAGCCATACTTGACTCAACAGCATCTAACAACAGGAGTTTAGTAAAAGATGCAGGTGATTGCCCTTCCCCTCCTCTGGGCCCGCATAACTGATACTGGGACTCAGCTAGGGTGCCTGTGTCCCAAGTTTAATTACTGTCTGGTGTACACAGGTGCCTCTTTCCCTGGGCACAAAAGCCCAGGTCTGGCTTTATACTGAGCATATGGTGGGAGAGTTGTGGGCCTCACATTTTTCTACCAAGTTCTCTTCTGGCAAACGAGATAGGTCTTAAGTCCCTAGGAGACCTCAGGGCATGACCGAAAGCAGCTTTTCTTTTGTAAGATTGGTGTGAGTTTTGTGCTCTACTCAAAATAACCCTATATTTGTTTTAATAGGAAAATACTTAGTTACTTTCCACGACATGAGACGCAATCTAAACTTCCACCACTAGGGGAGTAGTTAGGGGCACTCTGGTGGCCTAGTGGGTAAGGAGTGGTGCTGCCCACCCCAACGGCTCACAGTTCAAGCCTACTAGCTGCTCCACAGGAGGAGGATGGACCATCTCTTCCCACTATGGGTCAACTGGGAGTCAGTACCAGCTCAACAGCACATAACAACAGGGAAGTAGTTAAATAAATGGTGTAATTATTGGGTAGAGAATTATGTAGCTGTTAAAAAGGAATGAGCTATCTCTTTATGAGCTCAATGGAAATTAATTCCAAAATAATACTGTAATATTAAAAAAGATAAGGTGCTTAATTGTGTGCCTATTGATTGTATAAACCATAAGTAGGAAAACTGTGTGTATTTCCATATATTTGTACACCTTGACTCTGAAATGTCAAGAAGATAGATAATATATTGGGCTAGTGGCAAGAAGCTGTGCTGCAATCCCAAAGGCACGTGGTTCGAGGCCACCAGCTGCTCCAAGGGAGAAGGATGGGCAATCGCCTCCTGAACTGCCCCTGAAAACCCCCCGAAGGGTCAGCTCTGGGTTGGTTCCGACTCTGTGGTACACAACAACAGATAGTCTGTTGTATCTGAAAAGACCTGGATCCTAAGAGGGAGTTTTTCAACAGAATAAAGGGTCTTTCATGCCTTGGCTGTGTCGTCTTTTCACCACGGAAGAGCGTAAGGAAGGCCTAGGGAGAAGCTGACGTGCTGAGAAGTGCATGCACCTCCACTGTTCCACAAGAGGAGGGGAAGGCTGAGGCACTGTTTCTCAGGAGAAGGAATCTTAAGTTCAAAGACTGACAGGGCTAGGGGAGTGATTGTCTGTCTCTAAGAGTAGGTGTTACATATAGCGGTTGGGGGAAGGAAGGCCTGATGCTAGAGAGGGAAAGGAAAGCAGGTGTGAAAAGCAGGCCCTCACTTTGTAGCTAGATGGGTGGGCTTCCAGCCCTGCCTGGAGAAGAGGATGGGATGTGGGCACAGTGCCCCCCATATGTGGCCGCCTCTTCCAGGGCATGTCGGAGACCTTTGAGACGCTGCACAACCTGGTGCACAAAGGAGTCAAGGTGGTGATGGACATCCCCTATGAGCTGTGGAATGAGACCTCAGCGGAGGTGGCCGACCTCAAGAAGCAGGTAGAGGTTCTTCAGCTCTGGGGGCTCCATTCCCAGGGAGGCTGGACGGGGGTGGGGTGCATGGCTGGCCAAGGCCCTTCAGCTCCCCGGCTTCAGTGTCCCTGGGAGGACCATGGCCGTCTGCCCTCTGGCAGCGGGTTGTGATGTGTGCGCCTGTGAGGCAGCATGTCTATGAGACGGCCTGGAGCTTGGGCTCTGATGTGCGCCGTTGTGGTTGACAGTGCGACGTGCTGGTGGAGGAGTTCGAGGAGGTGATCGAGGACTGGTACCGGCACCACCAGGAGCAGGACCTGACCGAGTTCCTCTGTGCCAACCACGTGCTCAAGGGAAAGGACACCAGTGAGTATGACAGAGAGGACGGGCCAGTGGTGTGGCCCCCAGGGGAGGAAAGTGGGGGGAGAGGGGTTAGAAGGGAAATTGAGGGGTCCTGGGCTCTCTAGCCACAGGCCATGCTGATCTGTGAGGCTCTGACACCAGGTGACAGCCTGTGAGTCACGCTGGTGCCCCTGCGGGGCCACGCGAGGAAGGGGATGAGCCACTATCCAGCCGCTCTCCAGTCACCGCCTCTCGCCCTGGAAGCCACGTCTGAGGCACTCCGTTTGAGTATCTTCCCCCCCCCCCAAGGTTGCCTGGCAGAGAAATGGTCCGGCAAGAAGGGGGACACAGCCGCCCTGGGAGGGAAGAAGTCCAAGAAGAAGGGCAGCAAGGCCAAAGCCTCAGGCGGCAGGAGTGGTGGCAGCCAACAGCGGAAGGAGCTTGGAGGCCTCGAGGGCGATCCTGGCCCCGAGGAGGAGGAGGAGGGCATCCAGCAGGCCTCCCCCCTCACACACAGCCCCCCTGATGAGCTCTGAGCCTCACCCGGTGCCCCCTGTGCGAAGGGCGTAGCAGAGATCCCCAATCTGGAAGTGGAAGAGGCTGGGGCATGGCTCCAGTGGGCAGAGACAGCCTCCCCAGGCCCAGGGCCCCCCTGCCTCGGCTGTGCCCCTCGGCTGTGCCCTGCAGCCCCGAGGAGGAACTGCACAGGAGAAGCACGAGCAGTAGCAGAGCAGAGTTGTCTGAGCCCATCGTTTCTGGCCATCTGACGCCTCTCCCGTGCCGGGCCTGTGCAGGCCGGGAGATTGCAGACCCGCTGAGGACTTGGGGTGCCCAGAGCCCAGAGGGGGCCCCTCAGCCTCTGCTCCCCAGCCACTCCCCGCAGGAAAGCAGACCTCAGCACCCCCAGCCTGTTCCGGCCAACCTCTTTTGTGGACGCCTCACACCGGCCCCCTTCCCCGGGGCCCACGCTCCACTGTGCAGAGTAAAAACTCTTTGGCCTTTTTTGTCCACATTTCTGAATCCTTTCCACCTCTCAGAGGTGTCCTGCAGCCCCTTGTTACTCCTGCCTGACCCTCACGTTCTCTCCTGGGAGCCAGTGATGAGGATTCTGGCTCTACCCTCCCACCAGAGGCAGAACTTGCTGGCTATGGGGAACAGCAAGCACAGGGAAGACCAGAGTGGTTTTGGGATGAGGAGATGAAGCACCCCAACCCTGTTGCTTAGCTGAACTTCACAGGACAGCTGTTTACAGGGCAACTGTTCCAGCCACCCCTGTTTTTGCTGAGTGCTCCCAGACCCACCCGGCTCTGCTCCCTGGCAGGGTGGGCCTCCCTTTCCCTGGACCCATTTGCCCTCATTTCCTTCCCTTGGTTGCCCCACCAGCTCTACCTTCTCCTTCACCCACGCTGCCTGCTGTTCTTGGACCTTGCTCGCTGGTGACCACACTTGGTCACTCCGCCCTTCCCAGCTGGAATCCGAGGGGAGGACATCTCAGTAGTGTCCCCTGCACACATGCACACCCACACCCCTCCGTTACACCATGTGCCCTTGGCCCGAGGACAAAGGAAAGGCCAGGCTCAGTCCCTCCCCTGACAGTCCTGAGGGCAGGCAGCTGGGCAATAGTGGTGACAGCTGTGGGTCTTCCCAAGCCCCAGTGCACTTGTGGATAGTAGAAGAAGAAATAGGCCCAAGTCAGGCAATGCGCCCCATGTCCTACAGCTAATACCTGGTGTTTCTGGGGACAGTGGTGCATTCGGCCTTGGATTTTCACATTAGAAAGGTCTGCTGTATTTTCCACTACTTCCCAACTGGCAGGGTTCCTTCCCAGCACCTGGCACTAAAAATGAAATTCATGCTGAACTGGTTTGGTTTCTTGGCCCAAAGCCACAGCCTTCCAACATGGCTCTTTTGAAAGGAAAGTAGGAAGCATTCCTTTTCCAGGAAGGAGACAGTGGTGAGTGTGCCCTCACAGTCTGTGCATACGACCCTGGTGCCCCTACAGCCAGTGCACATTACTTGGGTGCCCTCACAGCCTGTTCATACCACTTAGGCATCCACATGGCACATGCACACCACTCAGGTGCCCCCACAGCCAGTGCACAAGATCCAGGTGCCCTCACAGCCAGTGCACAAGACCCGGGTGCCCTCACAGCCTGTGCACACGACTCCAGTGCCCCCACGGCCAGTTCACACATGACAGGTGCACTCGCAGCCTGTGCACATGACTTGAGTGCCCTTGTGGCTGGTGCACCCTGTCTCACACCTATCCTGGATGGGCCCAGCTTGGAGGAGTCCTGTAAGGGCTCTTGGGGTCCTGTGAAACTGCACTGGGGTCTGAACTTGGGATGGGACCATCTTAGGCTCAGCTCCTCCCTTTTCTCCTACTTAAGGTAGCCTTGGCCATTGATAGTAGAGCTAGCAGAGCTGTTTTTCTGGCTTTTGAGGCTGAAAACAAGGTCCTTGGGTGAAGATAAGTCTTTTAAGTTTAACCCCTCTCCTCCCTATCTCCAGGACCGGTAGATACCATTAAAAACACTGGTGGGGCAAGCTCTGGTGGCCCAGTGACAAGAAGCTGCCCTGCAATCCCAGAGGTGAGCAAATCAAATCCACCAGATGCTCTGCTGGAGAAGGAGGGACAATCTTCTCCTGTACCAGTCAGATCCAATTTGATGGTACACACACACACACAAATAATTAAAAATTTAAAAAAAAAAACACTGGTGGGCATTGAGAACCTAATCTAGTCTCAGGTTCTGCCCTGGACTTCATTCGAAGCATAGAAAGATAGGATAGGGGGTAGAACCCAGGATGGACAAATGTAGTGTCTTGTACTCTCTAGTGTTTAGTGACCTTTCTCTGATTCCCACTCCCCTCCCTTCCCCCCATATTGTCACAAAGCTACAGCATTTTGGTACCTGCTCTGTCTCTGGTCCCACTGCTGCATTGATCCTTAAGGCATGATGGGGCAAAGGCCTATCCCCTTAGCAGGGTGTTGGCACCATGGTCCAATCCCAGGCCTGGGGATAGGCCACACTGTCCTGTTTTACCATTTGACCTGTGGCTGCTCGGTGACAGTCCCCTTCCCCCTCCTGATGGCCAGGCTTGTTGCACATTCCCCAGCTCTCCACCTCATCCACCCCTGCTCCTCAGTCCAAGAAAAGGCAGAGATGAACCTGGCTTTCTGGATCTTACCCTCTGCACACCACACATAAAAGTCCATTAAAACTTCATTGTGTCCTGATTTCCCCCACTTACCGTATGAAGGAGGTGGCCTAAGGTTAATCTGACCTCCATGCCCCTGCAAAAGAGTTTCCTAAACTGGCCTGGACACCTGAGATGCTTGGTAAACATGCAGATGTCTGGACCCACCAAATCTGCTGAGTTGAAGACCTAGGATTCTGCTTCCTTAACAAGTGACTCTCACGGTGCAACCAAGAGGGACCTCCTCCTTCAGAGAAAGGCTCAAGGTGCTTCCAGCCCATGGTGACTCCATGTATGTCAGCAGAACTGTACTCAACAGGGTTTCAGCAGCTGGCTTTCCACATGGAGCTCACCAGACCTTGCAAGAAAGAAAGGGGTGACATAACTCTCCAACTCCTCTCTTAGCTGTTGATCACATTAACCATTTGTACCATCTTAGAGGTGTATCAACTCCATCAGTGTTTCGTGTGTGTGTGTGCGTGTGTGTGTGCTCTTACAAATGAGTATTTTTTTTAACTAGGAAAAAAGTAGCAATAATTCATTTCTGCAGTTTTATTTCCTGCTGAAAATCATGGACTGCACATTTCAATATGGATTGAACCTCAACATCAAGAAAACAAAGATTCTAACCACTGGGCCAATTGGCAGCATCATGATTGACAGTGAAGAGATTGTTATTGTTAACAACTTTAGTTTGCTTGGCTCCACAGTCAGCGCTCCTGGAACCAGCAGCCAGGAAATCAAAAGATGAATTGCTATCAGAGACGTCTCCAGAGTTCTGAAGAGCAATGATGTAACTATAGAGATTAAGGTGTCTCTAAACCTGATGCAGGCCATGGTCTTTACAATTACTTGCTATGCATCAGAGAGCTGAATGATGACTAAGGATGATAGAAGGAGAATTGATGCCTTTGAGTTGTGGTGCTGGAGAAGAACACTGAATAGACCATGGACTGCTAGGAGAACAAACAAGTCCATCCTGGAGAAGATGAAACCAGGCTGATCCTTAGAAGCAAAGATTTTCAAGTTTCGTCTGACATATCAAAAGCCTGTTCAGGGAGGGACCAGTCCTTGGAGAGGGACAGCGCAGGAGGGGAAGATCCTTGATGAGATGGATTGACACAGTGGGGTAATAATTGAGGTAGGTGTAGCAGAGACAATTAGGTTGGCACAGGATAGAGACTGTTCAGGACTGTTGTACACAGGGTCGCTCTGA